AAGACACCTTCTGGAGAGAGTTCACAATTTCAACACTAGATTGCACACATTCCTTTTGATGACATCATCTTTGTGAAGCTGGATTTCCCAGAACTGCTGTGACATGAATCAAGTATTGTACAAAAATTAGAGTGGATTATGAGAGTGGCAGCTGTTTGCTCCAAAACAACTATTTTCAAAAATGTATTTAAGAACCCTGGAATTCATTCCGGAGAAACACTCTGCATTCATCAATGTATGTGGTCCTAAGAAACAATCAGGTGTTCTGACTTCCAACTGCATTATGTATGTATTTTCAAGTATGTTTACCTAATCAAATACACAAATGTGAAAACACAAGACTGGAGCAGTCACACAGCTACAAACAGCAGCCCAGTGATTTCTAACTTTTTTTTCTGGCAGTGCTGGGGATCAAACCAAGGCCTTGGACTCATGCTACTTAAGCACTCTACCACTGAGCTACACCCCCCGCTCTGATTTGCAATTTTTCTGAACCAGTTAGAATCATTAAACACTCCTGTTAAGAGTTCTACATAGCAAGTTCTAGAAACAAACCTGTTTCCAGGCTTCTCTTGAGAACTCAGTCACTTTTTTTTTTTTTTGAGAACTAACCTGGAAGTTACCTTAGTGTCTGTACCCAAAAATCTAATTCAATTCAAAAGAACTTGGAATTAAAAGGGTTCAGCTCTTTTATACAGTTCCACCATCCTTCACACTTGGATAAAGAATATGGTAATAGAATGAATGCATAGAGTTGTTCTGTACTCTTTCTCTCTTCCCTATCGAACAACGGCACACATTTGTAATGCATCGGGCCCAAGACAAAAGTCTGTGTCTACAGAAAGCAAAGCCTGGGCTGCCTGATTCACTTCTGTTTTTTTCCAAACACAATCCACCCTCCACCCCACATGGATATAGCTCTTACCCAGCTTACATTCACTTAACTAAATCTAGTTGTCTGTTCATGACAAGCAACAGCATTTGAAAGCCCAAACTCATCATGATCAAAAATTAACAAAAAGGAATGGAAAAATCTAGAATGTGGAAATACCAGAGCACAACTTCACAACATGTATAGTATTAAGAGTCACACTGGGAAACAGATTTCTCCTTCAAGTTATCTAACCAGCCCAGGCTCCCTGGCAAAGTAGACCTGGGACTGCCTCCCTCACCTCCTCTCTACCCACACACCTAGGTGGCTCCAGGTCTCCTCCCTCAGGTTTGCATCAGAACTTCCTTCCAAACTCCCTAAGGCATTTGTGAGTTCACCTCCCCCAACCCTGCAATCCTTAATAAATGGTCTCCATTGATGACCTACTTAGTCAGGAGCCCTGTTTTTTTAATGCTTAGTTTTTTGACTAACAAATTTATTATGTAGATAGCTTTCAAGTTAAATGCATAGCTCAAACACACACAACTTCTAATTGGTTTATTTCCTCCTGCTGCTTAACCAACATATTCCCTGGGGCAGGATTACATGGAAGTTAATAATTTGCTGTCTCTACTTGGTGTCATATAATCTCAGAGATTATGAAGTACAACCATCTCATTTTACAAAGAAAGAACTGCAGTGACCTAACTTGGCCAGAGAAGCAAGACAACTACTGATCAAGCAAGATTCCTCTGGCAAAAATTTACCTTGACCCTTTCCAGGAAAAAAAAAAAAAAACATTTTGTTAAATCAAATGTGACAGCAATCCTTCTCAGGTGTGTAATTCAGTGCACCTCCCCACCCCCAACCCATAGCAGACAACTCCTGATGAGAGGCAGAGAAACCTATTTGTTAGCAAAAAAACACACTGTGTGATGGCCTGAGTCAAAAACCAAATATAGAAACAAAAAGATGCCACACTGACTATGTGAAGTGTGAAGCTAGGGATACCTAAAATGAGATCTCTTTTTGACTGCTCTTCTCAACCACTCCCAAAATTCACTTAACAGTTACAAGTGCCACCAGAATGAAGCAGTACATATTGAAAGGCCTGTGAGTAGGCATGGGGGGAAAAAAAACAGGTTGGGAAAAAAACACCAGCAAGAAATTAAACAATTGCTACTTTTAAAATTTTTATTATTTATTTATTGATTTCAAAGATAAAATGCACACACAAATATTGACTACTGGGGCTAAATTTAAGGAAAAATTTTGCATTTAATAAGAAAGGTTTCTCAATTTGATTCTTGTAAATACTTACACGTGATCAACTGTACAAAGGTATAAAGAACACATCAACTTTCCCCTATTTTGTCTAAGTGTGCCCACAGTAAATACCACGACACAGGTACTTCGGTGCTGGGTGTGGAGTGGTTCTGTTTTTTTAATGAACACCTGAATAGCCCCAGAAATAAATTCTCTACTAGAATGATGCCAAAACCTGATCCTGATTGAAAGCAAAACTACCTTTCTCACCAGCACCTTTGTATCAGTGCCCCCATGGGTTGCTTGGATAATGTGGACAACTGGAAACTAAACTCACCAAGTCCACTTCAATGCTTCTCCAGTTGTTTTGGTCGTGTCTCCCTTATAACAAAACATAGTTTCTGTTACCAGAAATTCTTTGCTCACTCCTTCATCTTTCAAATATATGACTCTTAGTCAAGAGAATTTTCCCCAGCTTGCTTTAAAATAATGAGGATCCTATCCTTAGTAGGAAAATTACCTTATATTTTAAGAACTACAGAAGTAGAGAAATAGGAGCCTACAGTTGCAGACCGTTCTAAAGCAGGATTTTTCAGTCCCAGCACTTTAGCAAACATTTTGGGCCAAACAACTTTCTTTGGGTGCTGTCTATAAGCTATCTCTGGCTTCTATCCAATAGATTACAGCAGTACCTCTCTGGCCCCCAGGTGTGAACTCCAGACATCAACAAAATGGCCCCCAGTTGAGAACTACTACTATAAATCACACAGACCTGATTTGAAAATCAACTCTGCATCCTCACCACTTGTATTACTTGGGGGAAAAAGACCTGATCTTCCAATTGTCCAGAAAATTCCTCATCTATAATGTAGAGCAATTGCTGTAGAAATACTATGAGAGTGAAATGCAATGATGCATGCTCAGGATTTACATGCACAGAACACGCAGTGCCAGAGTGGGTTACCAATAAAAATAGTATGAAATGAGAGGTCAAAAAATTAATTGCTAGAACCAAAGAAACTTATATTTAGCCCTCCAGAGTACTGTAGTCTAGGTGGAAGTAGTCCAGATAAAGAAACAAAAAGAGGAGAGGCTGGAAAAAAGGGACTAGTATTTCTCTGGTCTCCAAGAATCTAGATAGTTCTACTTAGTTTCTGGCCGTCTACTCTAACCTCCAAAATAATGAACAACAACAAAAAAATCTCCAAATCACAAAAGTCTCCAAAATAAATATGTCCCCAAACCCAAAACATTTTAATATAAAGAAGACGACTTACCGCAATGTACAAAACGCACTGAAAGTACCAGAAAACCATACCACTGTTAGATAACGGGATTCTAAATAAAATACTAAAAGTTCTACATAGATAGTGATAACTTCAACATAAACTTCTAAAAAAGAGAAACTAAGGCCGGCATGGAAGCTCACGCCTCTAATTCCAGCAACTCGCGAGGCTGAGGCGCGATGATAGCAAGTTCGAGGCCGCCTCAGCAACTTTAGCCAAATCCTGTCTCAAAATAAAAAACATAAAAGGGACCAGGGGTGTAGCTTGGTGGCTGAGCATCCCTGGGCGAGGGAAGGAGAAAGAAAGAAAAGAAAGAGAAGGGAGGGAGGGAGGGAGGGAGGGAAAAGAAAAGA